TACATACATTATACGTATACACTTTTCCATATATATATATATATATATACATATATATATATATATATATATATATATATATATATATATTCTTTTTTTAATATATTGTTATGTATTTCACTCTAAAACTGTTTTCCACCATCAGGCATCAGACGAGATATCAGTTGCAGATGCTAACCTTGAAATGGCGATAGCGTTCACTGTCTATGGGAATGAACCAGATTATTATTTTATGGACTTGGGTGAGGAAACCCCAGCATACGACTATGTCAGAGACCCTCGAGCCGCAGCTGCAGCAGAAAAGCTGGTGGCTAAATTAGCGACAGAAAACACTAATGAATATGATAGTGCAGGTGAAACACTCTCTTACATTAAGTCTTTTAAGTCTTCTCATCTAAGTGCAACTTACTGCATTCGATGTATTTAAAGAATAGTCAAAACATTGTAGGCCTAAGTCCCTGTATAAATGTTTACAATTATTATCATGCAATAAAATCAATTCAAATATAGTATATAACGTAAACAAATAATTTATATTGCTCACGTAGTCATAAATAGAAATTATAAATATAGAATTTAAGTAACTGATCAAACCACTATTGAATTATGAGGAATTGTATAAATATTTAAAGTTCTTAAAACCCTTTATATATATTTTAGATGAAAACAACCCACCTGATGAAGTAAATGCTCATGAGACCTTTAATAGCCTTGTTGATGAAACTTCAGATATCCTCCCACTAGTTACCGATACGGCGGATGCTGGTCAGGATGAAAAATTCCCTGATGGCCTTGTGGACGAACAACAATCAGATAACCATCCACTGGATAGAGATCCAGTGGCCGCTACTGGTCAAAATCACACGCCTTGCCTAGTGGATAAAACAGATATCCAACCACCACATTCCAATCTAGCAAATGCGACTGTTCAAGATGATATATATACAGGTAACCATCCACTAGACACTGATCCTGTGGCTGACACTAATAAGAATGACAACCCACCAAATAGACTTCACCATCAGTTACCAGGCCTCCAACCATCTGATAGGCCTACTGATCCTGTGGCTGATACTAATCAGAATGACAACCCATCTGATAACCTGGAACAACGTTCATCAGGTGGCCACCTACCAGATACTGATCCTGTGGCCGAAACTAATAAGAATGGCAACCCACCAAATAGACTTCACCATCAATTACCAGGCCCATCTGATACTGATATTGTGGCTGATACTGATCAGGAAGACACACCTTACAATCTGGATCAACAGTCACCACGTAACTATCTATCAGATGACAAGAATCTGCAGCAGCACTCACCAGAGGTCCACTCATTAGTTACTATTCTTATGACTGACACTGATAAGTATGATAGCACACCTGATATCCTGAACCAAAAATCAGCAGGTAGCCATCGACTACATACTAATTCTGTGGCTGATATTGATAATTATGACAACCCACCTGATAGCCTGTGCCAAAGCTCACCAGGTAGCAACCCACTAGATATTGATGCTGATACTGATCAGGATGGTAATCCCTTGAATAACCTACATCAACACTCACTAGACAACCATCCGCCAGATACAGTGGCTGATACTAAACCGTATGACATTCCACCTGATAGTCTGCACCAACACTTACAAATACCAAGTATTGATCCTGCGGCTGATAGTATCCAGTTAGGCTTCTTTCCTAACATGCAAGCGGACAAACCACCAAACAGCCATCAAGCACATCCTACATTCCCAGGAGATGCTACTAATCCAGATAATATATATATACCCCTGATAGACCAATGGAAAAACCAATGTTGGTCTTTGTCGTCTGACTCTAATCAAGATAAAACACCACTGATAGACCGATGGAAAAACCAATGTTGGACTTCGTCGGCAGATGCTGCTCCAGACAATCCTAATCAAAAGAATAATCAAGCTAAACAAAAAAGACTTAAATATTGTAGATTGAAATAACTGATATTCAAATTTTGTAAATCAATTTATATAACTTTGTAGTATATTGTGTTCAATGTCTTATCTGACTTGGATCGTTTGTTTATTGATGATATAATAAACCGTACTATATAAAACACTGATTTCATCATTGAATTGAATAACCTGATAATATATACTATCAACTTGCTCCTACACCTGCCATATACTTATACTTATCTGTCTCTTATACACATCTTTATTATGATTATTATTATTATTATTATTATTATTATTATTATTATTATTATTATTATTGTACTTAAACACCTTTTTTATTTTCGCCTTAT